GCGAATATTTAAATAGTGAGATAGAAGAAAAACAAAATCATGCTTTTCATATTGCACAGTAATTTGTCCATCCACCTTTTTTCATATATACTTCTGAACTGCCAACACCTCACTATATTGTTTTCTAACTGATTTAATGAAAAATTTTACTTCACTAACTGTTTTAACAGATAACTTATTAACAGGTAAATGGCCAATAGTTCTATGAGGTTGGGGAAGCATTGATTGCTTTTCTTGAACCTGTCTACAAAGATGATAAAATGCATCTCTACCACATGTCCAAAATATTTGAAAAAAAGAACTGCAAACTTCACTGAAGTACAGTAGTTGATATTTGATATGGAATTGTTGTTTGTGTGGTCTTTTATTAGAGGAGGCCATAAGTATTATCATTGAATAATGTCGTTGTTGTTTATTTATTTTAATACTTTCTGATACTAAAAATTGCAATAGGTCTGGCAAAACCTTATCACTGCACTTATTTTTATATGAACAGCATAACTTTAGTTTGTTGATTAATTCATCAATTGTAGTTTGATACCTTTCAGTTTCTTCATCTATAGAATCCACATTCTCCTTACTAGATTCTGCTTCAAATTAAGAGGTTTCATTATTGTTATCATGTTCTATTTTACCAAGGTCTGTTGAGAAGGTAGGGTTTATAGTCTCAAAAAAGAATTCTAAATCTTCTGGGATTTCTATTAATAAAAAAGAAAAAAAAAGTTTTTTTAAAATTAATAAAATTTTAAATTAAAAAAAAATAATTTTAAATAAATTAAAGGCTTTAGATCTTGGGTTATACATAGTAGTTTATGTATTGGTCGAGATTCTTGTTCTTTATATACTTATATTTTTTTTTTATATCTCAAATCAAATTCTACTGCAGTTAATTGAATGATGTACGCAATTAGTTTTTTCAGGCTGTTTTATGTTAAACAATAACTTCAAGGTTGTATAATGGTGAAGCGCATAGGGCATTTACAGATACTTACCTCAATGAACTTAACAAAGAATCTGATGCCCGTTTGACCAAACTGAGCTGTTTAGATTTTTTATGAAATTCATTAAGATACATGCTTGAGAACATTCTTAATTTGGGTTCTATGATAGTTGAAGTAGTATCCTAGTTGTGGAGACAAATTTTGTCGCTAAAATGAGATGCTACTTAAATAGTCGTATTCTGATTAGACAAATCATTCAGCCAAACTTTTAATAAAGATATCTTGGCATCCAACTATCTAAAATCGACTAATTTTTTTTTATTTTAATTATACATTTATTCGATAAATTTTTTTATTTTAATTATACATTTATACAATAAATTTTTTATTTACATATTATAAAATTTTTTTTATTTTAATTATACATTTATATGATAAATTTTTTTTATTTTAATTATGCATTATATAGAATGAAATAATTTCCCATCAATTTTAGATAGGTGGTTATTGAGGTATCTTTACTCAAAGTTTGAAAAAAAACTTTACTGCAACTTCTGTTTGACAGTTAATCAAGTTTTACAACCACCAATCTAAAATCGATGAAATTTTTTTTATTCTGATTCTATATACCTGCCTCTGCCAGTACAATTAAAATAAAAAATTTTATCAATTTTAGTTAGTAATTATCAAGATATCTTCACTCAAAGTTTAGAAAAAACTTTGCCACAGCTTTTATTTTGATTAGATAGAGAGAAGTGACATAAGTGTGTACTACAAAAGTATTAATATAATACATGCTATCGAAATAACCAGAACACTGTTTGCAGGGGCTAAGATCAGTGTAATGTTTAGTGAATAAGATTTTACTTACAGGTTTTTCCTGTGCATCACTCATATAAAATGTCAATAACAATGTTATGCAATGTAATGTTATACAGATATCCTAATATATGATTATAATAAATTAAATTATAAGAGACTATAAAGCAACTTATAAACTATAATAATTTTTGAATAAAATTTGATAACTTCAAGATGTAACTATAAATTTGACTATTTAGTCCGGTTAGACGAGTTGTGTTATTGTGCTTTCTAAATTACTAAGATCAGCAAATTTCATGTACAGTCACACCTCTCTAAGTGCATTCCATCAGAACTATAGTAAAAAAAAAAAAATTTTGTACTTAGTGGGTGTTTGCATTTATAGAGAGTAAAATATATAGGACTCTTATAAGTTGGGGCCAACCTGGATCATGCATTTAGAAAAATTTTATATAGTAATTGCACTTAGGGGTGTGCACTTAGAAGAGTGTAACTGTATTACACAGAAAATCAGAAATTAAAAAAATGCCAATAAGCAATTAGCTAAAAAATCAATTACTATAGTGCACTAACTAAAAGACCCCTTTTTGTATATCTTCTTTGTAAGATACACAGGTATAATATATAGTGTAAAATTATATAATTCTGGTAAAATTCTAAAATTTTGTCTCAGTAACAGTCAAAATACCTCTGGGAATCGATCAACAACACTCATCCCAGTTCTGGTGTGTTGGGTGTTGCATAATAAGAAAAGACTGTTAAAGAAGATAACTTTTTTCAGCTCAAGTCACAAACCTGCAAGAGCTCCTACCCTTGTACCAAGATAAAGAAGGAGATCAGAACTAGGGTTAAAAAATTTTGAAAAAAAATAAGGAAGATATCAAACAACCAAGTTACAGAGAAAAATGTAAGCAACAATAATTAAACTATTTTGAAAAAAAAGAATAATAGTTAATAAACGTAAAAGCCACAAAAAATATGGAAGGTAACAATGCCAGAGAATGGTCTAACATAGTGGAAGAAGAATTAATATCAACTACACAGCCTTTATCAAAAATAAAGAAAGCAAACCATTTGAAGTTAAAGGTGTGACTTCGAATAATTCGAAAGGTAATTCCATAGAAAATGCTAGAAAGAATTAGGTGAATGGATCAGGTGATGAAAGTAAGTCTAATCTAAAATTAATTGAAATTAAACAAGCTACAGTATTATATAATACAGCTGAGTTAGAAACTAATCAGGATAAAAGCACAGTACTCATGGGTTAGAGGAGAAAATATTATCCAACCAATAAGAACTCTAATTTTGCAACAAAGAAATGGTCAAGTCTCTTTACAAATTTAAAAAGAGAAAAGACAACATTCTCTCGATATACCTCGAAAGGCAATGTTACCACCAAGCATAACAATGCAGTAATATTTGACATTCAAAATCTGTAAGAAATTCCACTTAACAAAATCATAGTCACAATATATGTGAAGATTGGGGGTGATTTTGTGGCTACCAAACCACATTTCACCAGGGGAAGATGCACCTATTTGGAGGTTATCTTCGAGAATGAGAAGCAATAACACTATGTCATAGAAGAACTAGTACTCTTTAAACAGACAATTATAGGCTATATACCTACTAATTTAAAGAAAACTCATCTGGTAGTAAAACTAAAAAATATCCTATTCGGAAAAGAAGAATTTATTTTAAAATAGACTTGAGAAGCCTTTAAAGGTTTTAGTTTTATCAAGTAAATTAAACCTCTGGTCTACGAAGATAAACCCATATGCATGAACTAATAAATTATAATATATGAAACAATGAATGATTTTGATCTTAAAAATAGAATCCCTCATCACACAAGTATTTGGGGGCAGAAAGTGGTAAATCTGCTACAAAAATCTGCTTTTATTGTGATCAGACTGGCTACATTAAAAAGAACTGCTCTCAATACAAAGAGGCAATAGAGAATAAAATATATTATAAAAAATAAAAATCGGACAATCAAAAAGAAATAGAGGCCACTCAGTTTGAAAAAAGCTACAGTAAATGACAATCCTTATGTAAGTGAAACAAATAACAAAAACTCTGAAAAAGACTTGTTGAAAGATATATCAGATGTGAATGAAGATGTATCAAGTACAGTATAAATAAGGATGTACTATACCAAGAAGGTGAAAAAAACCTTGAAGAGATGATTACAATGGAAGTTCAAACTCAGCCACAAGAAGATATACGTACAACTTTGGTAAACAATGACATGATAGTAATAATATAGCAGTTGATAAAGCCAAGCAAGCAGAAAGCATGAAATTGAAAGAGGATATAGAAAAACCTACAGATGGTGATAACAGATATACACTAGTCATGCACAGAAAAAATAAAACCAAAAAACAATTAAAGCTCAATACAGTTCACTCCAAAACTAATAAGAAAATTAGAACACATGGGGGCCAGGTATCATATAAGATGATATCAGATTGCTCTTGACCAAACTCTATGATCACAACATTATAGCTTTTTCTTTTTATCCTTCATGACTAAACAAAATAGAATTACTATTGCAACCTTAAATATAAAAGGATTAAACAACAGATATAAATACTTAAAAATACTTACCTTACTTAAAATGTATAAACAAGATACAATTCTAATTCAGAAAATGAACCTAAAAAAAAGTAGAACTAGAGATTTTATTAGACAGCAATGGCTATTTGACTCCATATGGACCAATAAAACTGCAATTCTAGCTAGAAACCCAGAAATCATATTTGAAAAGGTTCAAGAATCATTCAGGTTAGAGTTACAAATGCATGTTTTAACTACAAGCAAAAACTATATCACATGAAAAATATATATGCACCTTCATTAATAGAAGAAAGAAAAATTTTTTTTGAAAAATGGATCTCTAAAATAAAAGACAATGCAATTAACATTGTTGCTGATAACTTCAATATTAATCTGAACACTGAAAAAGATAAAATAAGTAGAGTAGCTCTGTTGCATCTAAAGTAGCCACCCTATCTAAAGTAGCCCTGGGCTAGAATTACGATTTAGTGCATGCATGAAGATCTAATTTCAGGGGCCTAATTTTAGTCAGGTGCTACTTTATATATCTAAAGTAGCTACTTTAGATAAATCGCTACTTTAGATACAACAGCTTCTCATAACGACCTATTTAGAGACAAATTAAAAGAACTATTACAAGATTTCTTTGATACTGCCTTGTTGATTCAAAAACCTTTTATTATATTTCATCAAAAAACCCAGAATAACCAATCAATAGCAACAAGATTAGACTATATATTTATTGAGAACCAATATTATCAATTCTGTAAATCTATCTGTACCAGATTCGGTAACTCTGACCTTCTACTCCTGGAAAATATTTTCTAGTTTGTCAACTCCCTGTCTAATTCTGTATATTGGAAATTTAATAAGAGGCACTTAAAGAATAAATCACTTTATAAAGATGTATTTGAAAAAATAAATAGTGTGAAAGTAACATCAGAATGGAACTTATGCAAGTGCAAAATATAGTCAACTATCAGAGCTGATAAAGATATACCTGCTTCAAAGAACTGTATACAGAAGCTCAACAAAAAAATTTCAAAGTTTAAAGAAAAAGTAGCTGCAGAAAGTGCTCATGAAGATCTGATGAAAGTGGTTGACAAGTTGAAAATACAACTCGAGCAAGAGCTTTCTATTTTTGCTTATAAATAGCAAATTCATTCTAAAGCCAAGTGGATAGAAGAGGGAGAAAGGTTCACGAAATATTTTTTTGCAAGATACAAAGACCGAAAGACAGTAGTATCTACTAAAAATATAAGAACTGGGGGCTCAAATAACAATTTAAATCTGAGAGATATGCTGCACTTCATCAAAGAACAATACCAAATTTATTTCATTCAGAGAGTATTGATATCGAGACAGTTAATAAACTCACAGAGAACCTCATACAAGTTACTAAGAATGACAACTAGTTATTGTTAAAGAAAATTACTAAGAAGGAAATCAATCAAGTGATTGAAAACCTTCCAAATATCAAGACCCCTGGGTTGATAATCTTACAAAAGAATTCTACAAAGAAGTAAAAGATGAAGTAAGTAATATATTTGAAAAGCTTTTCAATGATATTCTCTTGTCTAGTGCTATCCCAGCACCCTGGTGCAAAAATTTAATTACACTAGTTCCAAAGAAATTGAGTAACTTAAAAGAACTAAATAACTAGCAGCCTATTTCTCTCATTAACACAGATGCAAAGATTTTCATAAAGATAATCACAAATTAGCTAAACCTAATTTGTCAAAAGATAATTGAAAAATATCAGCAAGGTTTTGTCAAGCACAAATCAATTTTGAATGCTATGTAAGATATAACTACAACAATGAGGAGTCAAAAGAATCAGTCTAAAATGGAATGAGTACTTTTTTTGAATCAAACAAAGGCCTTTGACCAGGTTAACTATTCATATCTAAAGATAGTTTTAGAGAAAATAAACTTTAGTCAGAAGTTCATAAAATTAATTAGTACTTTATTTGAAAAACAAATTGCATATATCACAGACTCAGGAATGTTATCAGAGCCATTCAGAATTAAAAGTGGGGTCCATCAGGGTGACCTGCTCTTACCTTTACTTTATATACTCGTATTTGAGCCTTTTTAAGAGAACTTAACAAAAGATTACAAGGTATGCCAGTACAAAAACAAAGATTTAAGATTGCTGCTTATGCAAATAACCTCATAGTTGGGTTTAGTTCTATTAGCGATTGGGAAACATTCATGTCTATAGCAAAAAAATATGAAAAAGCATCTAACGCAAAGATAAACAAAGCCAAGTCTATACTTGTATCTTTAACAGCCAATGCTAGAAGAACAGAAACAAACATCACAGCAGAATTTGATACCTTTTCAGAAAATAAAGCAGTGATAATTTCTGGGTTTCAACATTATATCACAAGGTGAACTGGAAAAAATACTTGGACAGAAATAATGTGCAAAATAAAAAACATAACAAAAAAACTGTCACATTACAACCTCTCTCTAAAGGGATGAATTGTACTATGAAAACACTGCTCATATCAAAAATATAGTACGTATCGTATCTAATACCACTCATCCAAAAGCAGTTAGCTATAATTAATGATTTGATAGTCTCTTGGATCAAAAATAAAGCACGAATACTTTCAAGATTCACAATTTTTCAACAAGACCAAGAACATGGTAGCCTCAGAGCCTCTATTTTGAAAGACTTACTTGATGCAAGATTAATATTCACATGGCTTAGACTCTTGATAAATAATAACTGCAATGCATTGGCAAAAAGAGAAAAAATAGAGAGCCTCTTGAAAAGTAGTTGAAATATTTAGTAAAAGCAGCACTCAATTCTCCACCTATTAAAAACAAGGCTTGGCTAAAAGATGAAAATATTATATCAATGCATGGAAACATGTAGAAGGAAAGATTGACTCTAATTTGTCAAATTGGCCATGAAATTTAGAAGATGTAGAAGTAGCTAACATGAAAGGATTAGAATACTTGATTAACAAAGTGATAGAATTTTTAAGATCTAAATCATTAAATTTGACTATATTATAAAGGCTTTCTAGCCATAACATCACTAAGACCCAACGTTAGGAGTAGATGAGGATATGCGAGATAGCCAACAAAAAAATGGATACTTTTTAGCATCTGCAACACATAGCCTTATGTGTTAGTTACAGGTTAAAACATTTCAGCATAGGAGATAATGGAAAATGCTTAGCCACCAGAACATTTTGGGGTAGAATGTAATTTAAGTAAAATTATCTGAAGAACTGCTTACAGTCTACTAAAAGAAGTGCAAATAGAAGCTTCTCTCAAAATAGTAAAAGAAGTTATCATGGCATCAAATATAAAAAACAAGAAAAATAAAGTATCTACATGATGGCTACATATCATGACAATTTATGAGATATGGGTCTGTTATATGCAATGGAAATGGTGAGGGAATCCTATCCCCCACCCAATTATTCTGCTCATATTTAGAAATTGAATTTGTAATGAAATCAAGGTTAGGGACATGCTACTTCAAAGATTAGTAAATGCCCACATACAATATCAATAATGAATTACCTCTTTGCCCTTTAA